CAGAGGCGCCACCTTCTGGGCAGAAGAGAGAAACGTTTGCTGAGCCACAGTAAATGCATACCAAGTCACTGGGGGAATCTGCATGCAGTCCCCCGATTTGAATGAAGCTTCCTTCTGTTGCAAAGTTCAGGTGTAGGTGCTCGGGAATCGCAGACCTGGCGATCCTGTTCGGCATGTGGGAGCCGACCAGGAACTCGTTGTTTAGATCCAGCAACTTCACGTGAAGAGCAACCGCCTCTTTCCTCTGCAGGGTGAAAAAGCACCGAGCACAATCACCGTTATGTTGCCTTCAGGTATTGTTTCCTACATCGCGTGTTTAACTCCATTAATGAAAACGCACCAGTGTGTCATCTAGATGAATTCCACTGATTTCAAAGTCGAACATGAACAGGTCTGCCACTCGCCTGCAGAGGCAAACATGAACAAAAGCCACAACAGGCCAAAATAAACAATCAGATAATCTCATAATGAGATGAAGGATAAATCAGGTCAGATACAAAACCAGCTAAGATTACCTTGTATCGGGATCCAGCTGAGCCACGATGTCCGGGTTGTCCAGCAAATTCTTCAGGCTCTTGCATAACTCAACATTAGTGTTCAGTCTGAAACATAAAAACCATCAACATCTGTCACAGAGACAAACTGAAGCATAAATGACCTGTATCGTACCGTTGGAGACAGCGTATAAAAACATGTTCTTGGTGTTGCGCAGCTATGAACGACATAGGTCGCTTCTTACTTCTCCACGACTGTGCCGATCTCGATGCAGGTCTTCTCAGCAGCCTCGCGGAAAGCTGGATCGGGGTGAGCTACTTTTATAAAGTCTGCCTGTTCACAGGGAAAATGAGTATTGTTGACAAGATTGTCAAGAAAACAAGCAATCTCTGCTCATTCTGAATTTTAGGAGGTTGAGGTTAAAACAATGGTCTTTTTTTGGACTTTGCATTTTCAGTGGGAGAAATGTTTTGTCACTCATTCAAGTGGCTTCTTTAGTCTTCACATAAAAGATCCACAGACAGAAACATAGATACACTGTGGGTTCCCCACTTTCACCCACCGTGGCTAATCTGTATATAGAGGAAATGGAAAACAGGGCTCTCTTATCCTACCCTGGAATGCCACAGAGTCAGGTACAGGTATGTGGATGACACCTCGGTGGAAATCAAATCTCAGGACATAACACAATTCACTGATCACATTAACGCGGTGGACCAACATTAATTCAACAAGAAGGATATGAAAAAGATTTCCATCAGTAATGAGGAACATTTAAAAGTTGATGTGTTGATCGTAAACCAACACATATGGATCAGTATTTAAGGTTTGACTGGAGCACAAACAGTGCGAACACCATCCCCACAGACACAGCAGCCAGGGACACAACTGCTGCTTAAGCAAAAACCACTTCTGATCCCTTGTGTCAAGAGTACTGAAACAGCTGAGACACGCCGTCTCAAAATACCACGACTCTTTGGCTTTCAAAACACACAAAAAAGCTACGCCTAAGATTGGTCCACCCCAAGGATCAGGTCCCCTGGCACAAACAGAGCAACACAGTGTACGCTTGCCGTGACTTTGGGGAAACCAAACAACCTCTGGCTAAGCGTCAGGCTAGGACTCCGCAGTCTATTTACACATACAGGCCAGTGGCCACTCTTTCAATGATGAGGATGTACACGTTTACGTGAAAAGAAATAGACCAAGGGTACATCTTTTCACCATCCTACAATGCTGTGATTGCAGCCATTCCCCAAACTCTCTATGAATGGTACTCATCATGCTCATGTAATCACAAACATGAAAGCGACCTCACAGCCCATTGTTAGTCAGTAGGGCTGGTCTTGGCTATGTGGGGAATAATATGACCTTATTTACACTTTTGCTACAAAGGTTTAGCACACTTTTGTGTGTTGAACTCACCAGATCGGCCACTTTACACAGTTCATCTGAGAGCTGGTCAAAGCACTGGACTGTCTGAACTCCTGGAGAAGAAGAACAGGCTTTCTCCACCAGACGCTCCGTGTTCTTCAGAGCTGTCTCTGTGGCAACCTGAAAGCCTGCAGGACAGCTCAGCTCTGGCACTCCAAACAAACCCTGCAACCACACACAAACGCACAGTTATCACCACCAACTAAAGCAAGACTTACCTACATAGTGTAAATGTTATTCTGACAGTTTTTTTTTTTTTAAATTTGTGATCATTTTTAAAGTACAAACCACATTTTTCTGAAACAGGTCCAGTTTCCTGTGAGGTCTGGCATTGAAAGCAGCTCCAACGGGAGACCATGTAGTGAGATTTCTCCGTACATACGTCAACAGGCTCCTGTGCTTTACCAGGTAAAGCATCCTCCTGCACGCTGACATGTTGTACAAACCTGTCTTGTGTCTGTTGATTCTGAGGCTAAGAGTGCTGACAGTGATTGGCAGAGGACATGCTCGATTTTAGTTTGTACGTCAGCCTAGCTGCAAAAGCCAGAAATGTAAACAAAGCTAGGTCAGTTTATTTTAGACCTTTCTTTTTCAGGATAATTAAAACGGACTTTCTTTGACGTATAAAGCTTAACTGTTCTATTGAAGTGCTCACATGTTAGCTCACTGGATAATGAAAGCGAATCTCCATAACTGTTGCTACTTGTATTTTCGCTAAAAAACAAAACAAAAAAAAAACATCGGGCTTCCGGTACCATTATTTAGAAAAAATAAAAACGACACACTCTTTGTTTTTATAAGTTCAAATTAACTGCATTTAACAAAATAGCGTTATCTAAAATTTCGTTATCTGAAATTTCATTTCATTTTTGGCGAAAGTGCGATGAGCTACCGAAAATTAGTTCGCGATGTCGTCACACTCACGCGACTGCGCAGTACGATTGAGAATTGAGGGGTTTTGAGTCTCTTCAAAATAAAATAAAAACAAAAGCTTATTTGTTTTTTTTTTATTTATTATTCCATCTTTTTTTCACCCACTTAGAATATAAACAATATAAATAAAGCAGCACGGTTGCGTGGCGGTTAGGAGGGTATGTCTTGGCTCACAGGTCTAGAGTTTCAATCTTACTCTTTTTTTTAAAGGTTTTCTGTGAATTAACAAAATCTTTTTTATATATATTTACAGGACAGTCCATTCATTGGGCTGCTAGAATTTTTTCTGTTATTTTTACACATTTATTTCTTACTATTTAAGTCCAAAGAGTCGTGCTGAGAGATTTCTTTCATTTACTGAAGCAGCATTTATGTATTGTTATACTGTTGAAACTGGACTTTCTTTTATTACGATATCTCAGGGATTAAATGTGTGGTTAAACTTCTCCACGCTGACAGAAAGTGAAGTTTCATTGGTCCAGTCTATGTGAGGTCACAGTGGCCATCAGTGTAAAATGAGTTTGACATCCCTGATATGTCATGCTGATATCACTAGCAGCATGACACAAAAACATAATTGTCTTATGAAAAATGTCAAAGATAACACAGTTTGACAGCCATAAAAATAGTATTTCTACACCAATATTGTGATTCCCCAAGAGCAATTAGCTGAAAACTTGGCGCATCTCAGCATGGTGTGTATTGTGTACTTTAAGACTGAAGAAGTAGAGGAAAAGCACAGAGAAAAGGCTGAGGGAAGCCAAATTACTCAAGAACTGGACTGAAAATTAGTGGCAGCAGGATTTTGTGGAGTAATAAATCTAAAATTTAAATTTGGGGAGGAAGTCTGTCAAGGTTTGGGGTTGCATTTCAGCCAGTGGTGCTGGAAATCTTCAGGCTTATGAACGTTGACATGCATGACCATGCTCCCGAACACGCAGCCAACGATGTAAAAGCAAACCTACCATTGGCCTCCCCAGAGTCCAGACACCAACTTTACTGAAGCAGTGTGGGATCATCAAAACGAAAGGCAGCCAACATCCAAAGAGCAGCTTTAAATATTCTTTAAACAGCCTGAACTACTCCTAGAAGTTCATCTGTTTGCACAAGAAGTGCAAAGAGGTGGAGCGTCTTAATGAAATCAACGGATAAGACCCAGCCCAAGACAGATTACACCTTGAAATGATGCCTTTATTAAGAGGAAGAATAACTCATTCATTGTACTCCATGAATAAACTGCATTAATAGTCTTCCTGTGAAATCTGTTTATTAAAGGTGTAGTACGAAAAAACATTAAGCAAAATGTCATAAAGCGACTGTATTCAGAAACCTCCCCATAAACAAAAACAAAATCATGACTGGCAAAAAAAAAATGTTTTTAAGTCAACTCCGAAAAAAAAAAAGACTTTAATACTGAAAGAAGGTAACACAGAACAACAATAAAAAGTCTTCCCAATATGAGAAATCACATTATTTTGCATTAAGTACTTTTGGTTACTTGTACTTGGCAAAAAAAAAAAAAAAAAGTACCAATTTGTGACATATGGCAAGACAATGCAGTTAATGTGTATAAAAAAGAAAGAAAGAAAAAAGGAAATAGCTCAAATTTAAATAAACTCTTTGCCACTGAACGATCACCAAGAAGTTCAGGCAATTTCTTAATCACATATTTACACCTATTCACTAGAATACAACACAAACCTAATAGAAACAAAAAAAAAAAAAAGGAAGAAATGTAAGGGGAAAAGAAGTTCATTTGGCTCATATCAACTCACAATACAGTCAAGCATTAAGTATATGGATTTACAAAGGAGTGCTGTAGTCAAAGTCTAAACTTGGATTAGTTTTTGTCCCAGTAAATGTGCTTGGACATCTGCCAACCTGGAATTGCTTCTTGTCCTTACCTTAGCTCAAAAAAGACAAAATAAACCAAAAAAAACAAAAACAAACTGCATGTCTGAGACTACAGTAAACTTAGTTGACCCCTGAGTTTCTAATGCAAAACTAGTGTATGAAATACCTCATTACAGTGTATCTTAGTGCAAGCCAGCAGTATGCTTGATTAAACAGAGGTATATTAGATTAGCACCCAAGCTGACGAGATTCCCCAGAATAGCCTCTGCCAAAACTTTTGCTGGCAAAAATCACCACACGCAGTATGGGAAGTGATGTTTTGCTCTTCATCCTTGTGAAAACCAGCAGTTCAAATGCTTGAGTTTGTATTACATCTATAAACATGTTTTTTGTTGTTTTTTTAATTTTCCTTTAATCTTTTTTTTTCATAGAAAATATAAATATCCCTGAATGAAAGATTCACAGCATTTTTCTCTCGAGGACTCCAGTGCTACTACCGTAAGGTGGCCAATCAAGTGTCTTAAGCTCTCCAGTTAACGTCCGGCTTCGTCTTCCCTCTAAAGCCTGTAACCTCCAGCAGCTACGTCCTTCATTCGCTGTCGTTGTACTTAACCGTCCGTTTCCCACGGTTTCGGGTGTTCACCCGCGTCTTCCTCCGCGGTTTGCTGTACGACTCGTCGCTGTCCTCCTCTTCCGAGGCGGACCTCTGGCGGCGCTGCCTAAGCTGGCGACTGGCAGTCCTTTCGCCGATCCCCGACCGCGTGCGGCTTCTCTTTGGACTGCTGTGGGACCCTGAGCTGGCAAAAGAGTTTTCAGAGGCTGAAGACGACTGCTCGCTTTCTGAGTCCGAGCTGTGTTTGCTGCTGCTGTAGCTTTCTTTTCGTTTGCGTTTGGGCAGCCTCGCGCTTTTCTTTCCCCTTGTCGAACGGCCAAGATGTTCCTCGTCCTCCTCCTCTTCTTCCTTCTCGTCCTCCTCCTCTTCTTCCTTCTCCTCTTCCTCCTCACTAGAATCAGAGTGGGAAGAGGTGTCCTGCTCATTGCCGTTACCGCGCTTGGCGTCCTTTTTGGCGCACTTTGAGGGGCCTGACTTGCTGTTTTTGTTGCTCTTGGATACTGGCTCTTTCTCTCTGTCCTCATCCCCGTCATCAGAGTCTGAGGTGTAAATACATTTTCTCTTGGAAGACACACAATTCCTGGTTTCACTCGGGGAAGTCCTGTTAGACACTCTTGTGTTATAACCGTCTTCTCTAGATTCTCTCGCTGTTCTGTTGCCAGTTCTCTGCCTGCCCGGCTTCGCAGAAGCAGAGTCTTCCTCAGAGAATGAGTTGTCACTGATGTATTTCTTTTTCGGCAGGGCTCGGAGGCTCAGCCGCCTTTTCGGCGCATTTTCCGAATTATCCGACTCCTGGTCCGAGGAGCCAGTGGAGCGTTTCCTCCTCGACTTCCTCTTGGGTTTGTACTCTTGCTCCGAGCTCTGCGAAGCCGAGGAGTCTCCGCGAGGCCGTTTGCATATGCTCCTGTTCCTCGTCAGCCTTTTCGTCCTCGTTTCAAAGTCGGACTCGTCGCTGGAGCGTTTGCTTTCCGCGTCCTGCTCGTCGCCTTTTTTCAGCCTTTTCTTGCGTGGGCTGGATCTCTTTGGAGAATCACAGAGTTCATCTGATTCCGCACCATCCAGTTTATGAGTTGAGGCAGATTTTTGTTTGTCTTGGCTTTTTGACGGAGAAACTTTGCTTTTTTTCTTCGGGTCTTTGTGAACTGCTTCCTCCACATTTCTTCCGTTTTGGTGTGGGCGTTTGTCCTCTTCGTCTGAGCTTACGGGAGGTTTGTGTCGTGTGCTGAGGTGGCGGATGTCTTTCGTCTCCTCTTCCTCCTCGCTTGTACTCCTACTTTTTCTCACTGGGGCGGCTGCCGTGCTCCTTGACGGTTTCTGAGACGGAGGTGGCTGCTGTTCCTCCGCTTCTCCAGAGCTCTCTCCGGGAGTTTCCTCCTGCTCAGAGTTGCTCTTGGGCGTGTGATGTTTTGCACTGTGTCCATTCACACGGGACAAAGTACCTGTCGGGAAGGAATAAAACATCGAGCTGTTTAGGGCAACTTCCACGGCAGCATTAGCACAGTCTAAAAATGCAACTGATGAGGACATTTCTCACCATTTTTCTTAATCTTGGCAGCTTGTTTGGAGTTCTTTGTGTTTCCATTCTGCTTACTCTGGGAGAACGATGAGGTATCGCTGTCATTGCCATCCTCCTCATCCTTAAACTCACTTCCTGATTCCTTTGTATTTTGGGAAGCTAAAAGACAAAGGAAGAGAAGATAACTGAGTAAAAATCTCTTTCTCTGAATAATATTCACAGACTTTTAAAGAGTAATTAATACCTGCTGCTGACTCTTCGTCTGATTCTGAGCTGCTCTTGAGCACCGCCGTGCGTTTGCTGACCCGGGCAGTGTGGCGAAGGCGACTGCTGCTCCTCCTCGGCTTCTCCTCCTCCTCCTGGTAGTCTTCGTCAGACGCTTCAAGGAGCTTCATCTTATTCACAGCTGCCCGAGCAGTCTTTCTTTTTAGCGACCCGCGAACTGTCACTTCCTCCCTGTCGGAGCCTTGAGACGTGGCCCTGTCAGAGTCGCAGCGGGGACGCCTCTCCCTGCGAGACGACCTGCTGCTGTGACCGTTCATCTCCGCTCTGCACTCTGAAAACAAGCCGTTCACAAAGGTCTATGAGCACACTTGGCGCTGGGTTTTTGTATCTCACAGGGTCAGAGGCTGAAGGCAGTGAACTTGTGTTACCTGCACGTTTTCTGTCCCCAGCAGCGCTGTTTCTGGTCCGCCGTGTACTCCTGCTGGGATAGCGACGATCTGAAGTGGACGACGCCTCGCCATCCTCTCCCTCTTCACCCTCACTGTCAAATTCCTCCT